AGAAAAACAGGTCGAACGATTTTATAAACCTTGCTCCTCTGTAATAATTATTTCTTCTAAAAATTCGTTGCTTCAAATATGGGACACAGTTGTCTATTACATGTCTTGAACTTCTGGCAGAGATCTTACGGTTCATACAATCATAAAAACTCCTTTCATTCTCCGTTCTTTGTTTTCCCTTTCCTCGCTTAGTTAATGGCACAGAGATGATTAGATACGATGCTTGAAACGTCGCCGATTACACGCACGTTCTTTGTAATCCATCCTATGATTTTAAACAGATATTTCACTGGATTTCGTTGAACTCCGTGAGTGATTAAACGATGATTCAAAGTATAATTATTTCTGTACACTTAATAACACACAGTCACATGTTTCAACATAGGCACATGCCACAATCAAGTATTTACCTATTAATAAAGATTGATTGAAGACACACTTTCTATTTCTGATAGCAAACATGTTTAAATTCCGTGAGGATTTAAAATTGATGCCTCCTCTTTGATGCGCGAAAAGATTCATAACACGTTTACCTAAATTATACGCCGATTGAATCTCACAGTCAAATCGGACGGTTTAAATATCTACGGACGAATAAAAAGTGTTACACATTCATTCAATGTGAATTATTTATCAGGCTACAGCCAATGAAATATTGAAATAAGTGCACACACAACGATGAATTCCCGTTTCGCGTTGCATCTGTTCACCGTTCGTGCAGCTCGCATGTACACGCGTCTCGCTATATTTCTACGTTTCTATATCCTTGACCATAATCGGTTCTGCGTCCCTTCGTACGCGAATTCCACCGGACATTACAATGCAACATGCGATAGGAGACGTCGCGTCGTCGTCGTCGTCGTCTCACGTGTCGATAAACGAACGCATAAAGTGCACGCACTCGTAGCCGGGATTTCGTGTTACATGTCCGGCGAACATGGAGAATAAATAATATACGAACAGGGAAAAAACTGTGCAAAAAGAAGTTCGTTGAATGCGTTAATGCAGAGAGATTATATGTATAGGCGGACGAGGGTATAGTGTTGTAAGGATTGCTGAGTGAACATGCGACAATTACATGTGCGGTCGCAGTGGGAGGAATATAAGAATTTCTCGTATTTACACATATTTATGTAATTGTATTTAATTACGTTTCATTCCTTTTTGCGAGCTTCTACTGAACATGACTTTCAGGGCTATTAATGGAACGTTGCATTATTATTCCTTTTCTTCTTTAATGTCTGCTATAATAATGGTCCTTTTGTTACAGGCCTAGCCCGTGTGAACTACAGGACCCACTGTGGGTCAAAATGAGTGCGATTACTGGCAGTATCACCAAGAAGAGAAAGAAGTCAGATGCCAAGCCTCAGTCGCAGATGTGAGTACATTTCAGATCGAAGCTTTCACAAAATAAATAGTCTCGTCGTTTCGCTGTAATTACCTCTTGACAAATGTACTCGGCAGAGAAGTGTATTGGCAACGGGGAGGAATTATACTGATTTGACAGTTTGATTGAAATTCAGTTCTTGCAATCAGCGATTTCGTCAGCGAACGCGTACGCATCATTATTCAATTTTACATTAGGGTAGTAAATTATATCCCACTTAAATTCGGACTAGATGCTATCTCTGAGCTTTTCTTTTTGTTAGATGATTATCGAGCTTGGTTTCAATCTGATGTACTTAAGTTAAGCAAAATAGTGCTTTGACGTGAGAAATTGATACACAATTTGATATCATCGTGCGTATCAATCATTAGATCTGGAATGGAAAATGGTACGAAACGACCATGTTTTGCTGTCAATATCGTTTTACCGTCAGACCACCTAATGAGTCACACCGACGATTGTATTTATACCCACTACTCGTGTACCAGCTACGTAGATAGTAGAGCAGTCAGTATATTCAGCTGCAGTAGTCAAAGCGAGAACGAGCCTCTCCTTTACCAGTCAAAAACATTTAAAAACATTTTGCCTATATATATTTTAAATGCATTAGACCAAAATAAAATTATTCATATTCCATCCATAACGAATATTCAGAGATTTTTTTTATGAAATTTTATCTACTGTTCTAATTTTTTAGAGCTTTTGTAAATTAACTTCCTCTTAATGCAAGTTGTAATTTGCACAAGAATAATAATTTGGTACTTATTAAGAGAGTATTAAAAGCATTAAAAATATAGATTTAAATTCCCATAAATGCATAAAAATCCGCAATTTAGTAATTGCAAATATATGCGTCGAAACGTTTTAATACTGTCGCATGTCGCGAGTTCTAAACAATTGATTTGGATTAGAATCGTTTAATGGAAGCAGATAAACAGTGAAAGTTGGTCCATCAGACGTACAATATCTCGTCACTTAATGCACGTTTCGTTGATAGATTGGGATTAGAGCGAAGCGTATTTCACGGATTGTCGTTTCGCGGTGTTATTACATGTACACGTGTCTATGTATGTATGCATGTATGCATGCATACGTATAGGTATTCCGCGCCTCGTGGCTGGAGATTTTACGAGCCGTGTTTTTATTCCCATTTTATTTTACTGCGTCAAGCGACATAAAGCTTCCTAGGAATTACTTACTTAGGAGTATTACAAACCCGCGGCTTCGAAAGATTTATCGTGGTGTTGCGAAAGTTGTACATGCACGATTAAGTGTCAAATATTTTTTCATCAATGTCGTTTTAGTACAGCGGACGATTGAACGCAATACTTACTTGTATCGCTGCATTGAATATACTGAAGATTGTATGATCTCTGCCAAAAGTTTGAGAAATTTGATAAAAAGGTCTGCTGAATATTTCAAACGATATTATTGTATTTAATCTTTTATCTTTGAGACCATAAATTAAGCTTTTACATGAATATTTCTTATTCAGATCATGAATTCAGTAAAATTTGTCATCTGCGCTGTAGCGTTGCGTATGTTTTTCTTCAGCAACAAATCATTTGGACTTGTAATAGCGAGAGCAGTAAATACTGAAATTCGTTCGGCCGTAAATCGGAGCGCGTACACTTCCGTTTTATTTAAATCCCTTGCATATTCATCAGTTCAGACTTTATGCGTTTAAAAGCGGCGTAATTATCGGGCTAAACGCGATAACCAAAGTGAATGTTTAACATGGTGCACGGGATCATTTTAATTTGATACCTATCTAGTTCGTCAGGAAGTTAAATCATGCGTATCCGCTGCTCGTGTCAGTGTCGACAGTGGTGGTTTTCGAACTGATAGCATCTCGGCACCGTCAGAGATATTAATATACATGTATTGAAATTTCGAGCAGGGAAAGGTTTTCACTTTAAACAGTAACAGTCTAAATCGAATTTCACTCGTAACAAAATGTAGTCGTCACGCGTCGAAGAAATTTATTTTTATCAACTATTATTACAGCTTTCGCTCTGTTATTTCCGTTTGATGTTTTTTCCGCTTTGTTAATGCGAAATTGCTTTACACGTCACCCATTGAAACGGAAATGTATTGAAAAAGAGTCAATGCCAGAGAACGGACAATATTAATTAATTTAGCGAATCCCTGGAAATCAGAGAATCGATTTGAAAATAATTCTCGTTTATAATGTAAAATTAGAAATTTACATTCGCCTTATCTGTCTTTTACTGTTTTACAATTATGATTTTCATCGATCATTGATAAAATGTTCATGTCTCAGTGGCAATCTAATAAGTAACGCCCACGCTTTAAGGTTGGTGAACACAAAAATTGTTACTTTTCCCGATGGAACGTGAGGAAGGTCCATCCAAATGACTGCATCGCGTGCAAAAACGAAAAAACAATCAATCATCCACGGTAGAAGCGCACGTTTTTTGTGCCGATTTTTTTCTGATCGCCCGGATTAATTTATCGATGCCCCCGCCGGCAAAAAAACGGCCGGTTTATCAAAAGTTCATAATATAACGAAACGCTTGCGAGGCGGACGGACGTGGCCAACGCGTCCGGACCAAACCGTTTCGGTATTAAACTCCGTGTCCGACTGTTTCTCGGGCAAAAACAGAGATGATTGCGTGTGTGCACCGTGGCTCGAATCGCTGCGTGACGGAAGGGACCAGCCGAAAAAGGGTAAATCGTAGACGATCTCTCTCCATCCGGCGACGGAGCCTCGAAAATCTCTGGGGCGGCGTGCAGTTCTCGTAATAACCTGGACAGACGTCGTCTTAACTAAAAACACATAAGAAACAGATAAACAAATTGCAATTCATTTTCGATAAGAAACCGTTTTACAACTGTTAATTTCAATTGGATGCGAGGAGGTATCATCTCTTTAATGAAACAGCGTTCGATATCTCATCATCTAATTATGGAATTATAAGTGTTAGTATAAACGTACGTGCATGTACATATACATAGAAAAGGAAGACTGTTGATGAGGCAATCCGTTCGCATGGAGACATGGCCTTTAACAAAGTGAGAGTCACTGTTCGGCGACGCAAGGTCAACCGAACGTTCCAACTTGAACGGGACTGGAGTTGATTCAACATCTAACAGTCTCTCTCTCCTATTAAAAATTAACGTAGTATTTCGCCGTGTCTTCGTTCGTAGATCTTTGAAAACTAATTTTCTCTTTCCGACTTCCTGATACTCTTCCGAGGTTGGTTATTGAAGTAAAACATGTTCATTCTGCGGGAGGTTTCATCATCGGTCATTTAGAGTGTTCCATCGCGCAGGGTTAATTGGCGATTCTTCAGTTTGGAGGTTCGGTCTATGGTTAACGGTAGATTCGCTATTGTTCGGGATGAAAAAGGAATGCGGTGAACCCGGACCAGTTAGTTCTTGTACTATAATTTAGCTGGCTTTATCCACTTATTAGTTTAGTTGCTCATAATTTAGTCAGCTTAGATCATGGAAAATTATTTGTTAGTCAGCCTTATCGAGTACCATGACATTCAGGATGTTAAACTGTAATTACAAAAATTGTGACTCATTATTCAGTGATCGATTATACAGAGTGTCCTAGAAGAAGTGTCAGAACCGAAGGGGGATGATTTTTAAAGTGTTTCTAAACAACCATTTCCTTTGAAATTGTAGTTTTCCTCTCGGCACTGTTTCCAAAGTCCTCTCCAAGTCTCATGAATTCGTACACTGTTTTTAAGTAATCATTCCTGGGTTTAATCATTTGGTCAAGGAATGCGAAATAAAAATTTCGCTGAACGCGGGCCCTACACGTGCTCTCATTAGTCAGTGTTTTTCTTTAATAATTTAAGAAAGTATTGGCTATACAGTCAATCCCAAAAGTTTATGCACTTTAGAAACGCATTTTTTAAAAAAAAATCAGACGTTGGAAGAACATTGCTAATAATAAACAACAACAAAAAATTTTTTCGAGATTTTGTCAAGGGGTACCCCNTTGAAAACTATTCAATTACGAAAACACTTAACGATCTTCACAGAAAATAAGATGAGTTTATGAAACAAGCTTATGAAAAGTCTGTGACTTAAGGGAAGTTATTCCCGTTTAGGAAGGCTCATTTCACAGAGGAAATTTTTGATCGCGATTGATTTGTAATCCGGCAATAAACGTTTCACTGGCCAGTGATTTATCGTTGTTTCGTCATAGATCGTTTCTCTCGGACGTTTCGCGAACAAAAGTTCGGGATAACAGCGTCCCATTAGCGGCCGTGAAAAGATTAACGAGCCTACATAGCGGGCTGCAAGAATCCGTGAGATTGATGCAGACATTTTAGCACGGTACCGCGTCGATTGAAGTTCGGCTTGAAAGTTCAACACATTTCGTGAAATAATTCTTTTGATGGATGATGATGCATGCCAGTTACCTTGGGGCATGCGTGTCCCTGGGAATGAAAATGGAGTAGTAAACGTGGATAAAATAGTTGAGGGAATTAGTTACCGTTTCTGTTATAAATATATGCTACTACATCACTCGGCTCGAGTGTCTACGTACAAGAAGCACGTGCGTCGTTGCACGTAATTGTTATTTTATAATTAAATACTCTTCCGTTGCATCTCTACATAACTGCCATTAATTACTGACGTAGAATTAAAAATAATTACATCTGCTGGAACAACTGTGCTGTGTGTGGTATTTAATTATACCTATAAAAGGATTCATCGAGCAGTGTATATTAATTTATATATTGGAGCATTAAAATTCAGTTCATGTCACAGTCGAACATAAATTAGTTCTTGCAATCTAACTAAAAATATTATTTAATTAACACTAGATTGCCGGATATTGGATATATCGAATTCAGTGTCAGATTTAAGTGGAATAACTATAGAAAAGGCAGTCGTGTACGAAATGCTTGATCCATAGGCAGCTATCAGCATTTCGTTTATAATTCGACTAGTTCAATACTTTATGTTGTATGTTACGATAATTGATTATAAAAATGTTTTTTATCTCAGTGGCACTAATCTATATGATTTCACAATAAAAATCAATGATAATTAAAAGATGTTGAAATTGTAACGTCGAGTCTTCCTTTGTAGGAAAGGATTTATAGAAAAAATGATCCAGTGAATTTGGTCGAGCGAGCCAGTCATGTATTTCGTTTTGATTGTTCACAGCAACAAGTGCCTTAACGAAAAAAGACGACGGACCCAGGAAAACCATTTTATGGATGAGCTTACCGAGCTGATTTCCGTCACGGACATGAGCTCTGGCAAGACTGACAAATGCCAGATCCTTCAGAGAACCGTCGACCAGGTAAGAAGACAGATTTGTACGTTTCTGCCTTTCAAATGGCTGATCGATAAACTCAACAGCGAGTCCTTCGAGATCCGATCGAAGAACGCCGTTTTTTGCGACACATTGCCACCGTACCGTGTAATCGTCGGATTCGTTTTCTTCTTATTCGCGAAAGGAGCATGGGAGACGGTCTCGTTTGAAGTAGATTTCAATACGTATTTAAAAGCTGTGCAGTACCTCCGCTATCTCTACGATTCATTATTATACATTTCTTGTTTACTGAATTATCAATATTCCACCTTTTTTCTCGATCCATTTTATATGCACTTTCCCTTCTCGTGCAATTCTTATCAATTGCTAATAGGAATGGCATATATCTTAGCCCATTAAATGTTCTATACCTGACTTTAAGGTTGTATGAGCCATAAAATATCTGTCAAAAGTTGAAGACATGTAATAAAAAGCTGTGTCCACTATTTGAAGCAACGAATTTTTAGAAAAAATTATAATTACAGAGGAATAAAATTTATAAAATTGTTCGACTTGTTTTTCTCAGTCGTACGGAATTTTTAACGCATAATTTCTGATATTCTAATACATAGTTTT